CCTTGGGAAAGCTTCGAGGGACGTGCTGGACGCCATAAGCTTCTATCTGAACCTTCGAAGCTCGCCGTTCACTGAAGTCCTTGATAATGTCCCGTTGAGAAATCGCGAAATATCATCGTCCGTGTTGTCTGTGTGTTGCCATGGGAGAACCACTTTCCAGGGAGCTCACCATCATAGCTTGACAGCTGCTCAGGAGGACGGCCCGTTTATATTCTCGGACGATGATTCGCGGGTCGATCGGACTCTTTTGACCCTTGTGAGGCCAGATAAGGCGGGCCTGCACGTGAGGGACTTTCATGGTCAGTGGGTTCTTGTGGATGGTGAACTTGGGCCTCGGGATGTGATTGTGTATCCTGGGCTGGCACTGTATCAGGCGACTGCGGGCTATATAAGCCCAGCTACGTATCGGATGGATTGCGGTGGGCTGCAGGGTGGTTTGTATGGGCGTTGTTCGGTGTCGTTCAAGCTGATGCCTAAGTCCATGACGAGCTTGAACTGTTCGGAGATGAGGGCCGCAGGGCATGGGGTCGAGGCTCAGTTTCAGCTTCCGGTCTCGGTCGATGACTTCATGCAGAGATCAACGGACCAGCTTCTTAACAGGAACAACTTCACGAGTTTCAGTTTTCCTGCTTCTCAAGAAGGTAGATTGTTTTATTTTATATCGTTGACTCTTTAATATTGTTTACTGCTTTTGAAATAAGTGACTTTTGGCAGCATATGGATAAAAATTTAAGGTGGGAATGGATGCAATTTTTGCTTGTGATTTACGGAAAATAGATGAGTTATTGGATAAAGGGTGACATTTCATGGGATAATGTAGAAGAACTATTTTTCAGTTTATTTTTGGAGAAAGTGTGTAGACTTGTCGGTGACATGATAAATGACGCTGAGTTAACTGCGTAATGTTTGAAATTTTGGTATACACTAGCATTTGTGGATGAATCACTTTTTTTTTCTCCGTTTGTTACTTTTTCTGCCTTAAGTATGGATTTTGAAAAAATTTCAAGAGGAGGATTTCTGAGAGGAACATGTTGTCTGTGTATTAGACATGCATGGTTTCACTTTCCCTTGATCTTTAACCACACACACAGTGTACACTACCTTCTGTGCCTGTCTCACTTAATCTATATATTTCGCTAGTATTAAATGGTATTTTTATTCCGATCTCTGGATAATCAACTAAGCATAATTCTCATATCCAACTAGACGCAACACCTTTGCATATATCATAAGGCAAAACATTACATTCCCAAGTCCCACTGGTCCAATTATCGCCACGCGTTATTATTCTTTTTCAATTTTTAGTAAGATGTTCATAACAAACAGGTCCTTGGGTCGATGACATGCTGGTACAGGATCCATAAAACCGATCATACGGAGAACGAAGAAGAATAACACGAGGTGTAAGCCCCTCCCTCCTTCAAAGAGATTACGACTCGAGGCCCAGAGGGTCCTCAAGGAGAGGGTCCAAGATATTGCCGACAAAAGGGGTATCAAGCTGAGGTTCTGCACTCTAAAAGAGTGTGAGAGTCACATTAACTCACTCGACAGCCCATGCGCGGGTATAAGGATGGAGATTGGGTGGCCCCCAAGCGTCCCCTTTGTGCATCCGCATGATCTCCCGAACAAGGCTAAGATTGCTTTTCTTGAGACTTACGAGCCGGGATGGTCCGAGACGAACGAAATAGAGTGAAAAGATCGGCCAAGGTATCTATCTAAACACAGTTTATTTATTTATTATTATGTTATTTTTTTTTTAGATTGTAATCTGAAAATGAAATGGTTTATCTGAAATGTGAATTTGAATTTGTGTTTGTATTTGTTGGTGCTATGATTTATCTCTTCTTTAGGTCATAATCTGTGATTTTTCTTGTTTTTTTTTTTTT